TTCCATTGCTGCAGAGAAGAATATCATGGGAGAAAAACCAGGAATACAGATGGAGCTGGTGATACTTCAAAGTAAAAGTATCCAAAGTCCTCAGAATATAAAGGAGAATGAAGAAACACGGGGACCAAAAAGACTCTCAGGCCAGTTAGTTGCATCTTGGAGTAATCATGACATCTGAATGTTCCTGGAAGAATGGGAATTCCTTGAACATGAAGTGCTCTTTAGGAAGAAGAATCAGAAGCTGGCAAAGGCAATTGCCTGGTGTCTCAAGAAGAGGGGCATAAAAAAAAAGCCGGCAACAGTGTCTCCAGATGATGATAAGTTTACAAGATTTGTACTGGAGTATTCACGAGGCCAACCAGAAACCAAGGAGTGAACTCTTGCCATGTCCTTATGGAGAGGCCTTACACAGGATCTTGGGATATAACTGGGAGCACAATCACTTCTCAGATTCTCCCTATGAAGAAACAGCCAACCTTCCACCTCCCCAGTATGAGGTCCAGGTGAATGGCATCCTTGTAACCCCACCTATGATCTTCATGTAGAATCCTCAGGGACCTGAATGGAACCCCTGGGCCATGAGCCTTCCATGGTCAGCTCCATGCCTGTTTCTTCCTTTTTCCATGGCAGTCCTTGGATCCTAGCAGCAGTGGTAATGTAGATCCCAAACTTAAAGAAATTTTGAACCTGGATCCTGACTGTACATGAAAGACTCAAATGTTGCATTCTATATACTTATAAACCCTTATCTTCCCCAAACCCAATGAAATGAAAATAAAATATGAGATTGAAAAAAAAAAGTACATGAACCCCCTTAAATCCTCCTTTATAGACACTGGTAGGGACCGATGTCCAAGAATGTTTATTACAGCCTGGTTATAATTGCAAAAGCACAGGGACATCCTAAATGTCCCCAGCAGTAGAGGGACAGTTTGTTCATCTGAGGGAATATTATATGGCGATAAAACTCTTTTTTTTTTGGCACAGAGTCTCACTATATTGCCCTTGGTAGAGTGCCATGGCATCACAGCTCACAGCAACCTCATACTCTTGGGCTTACGCAATTCTCTTGCCTCAGCCTCCCAAGTAGCTGGGACTACAGATGCCCACCACAACACCCGGCTAGATTAAACTCTTGAGTGAGAGCTCTCTCTCCTGACCAGGACATATACACCCATGAGAGCACTCTAAGAGGGAAGCAGCTCTCCAGGCCACTGTGTGCTCCCCCTGAAATGGAGGATGCTGCAGGGTGGTGCACCAGGAGGCTGTTACCTTTCTCTGCATTCTCTTTCCCTACTTCTGATGGACATGTATTACTTTTATTAATAAAAAATTTTATAAAGTTAAGAAAAGAAAGTATTAATGCTGTTTTCAGCTCTAGCCTCATATATCTGATCAGCTGCTGAAACATCTCCAATATAGCAAAAAAAAAAAACGTAGTTCTTGGGACAGAGCTGAGATGCTCACCACAAAGCCGGCCTCAACACCACAACCTTCTAGAGGAAAGAGCATGACCATGGTGGCCTTGTCTGAGCCAGGAGGATGAAGGTCTCTGTGTGTGTCCTCTGTCTCCACTGATGCCCTGCTCCCTTTCTACCCTGTTCATCAGGCAACTCCCAAATTTCCCTCCTAAGTCCACTTCTGGGTCTACTTCCCCACTGCACCACCACTGCCACCAGCCTTCACTCTGCTCCTGACCTGTCCTGCTTGCCACTCAGGGCGCCTCCCAGCCTCGACTCAGGCCCTCCCTGTGTCCAGCAGCCTGTCTTGCCACCTCCCGGTACCCCTGCTTACCACTCTTTCCTGCTGGCAGCCTTTGTAAGTCTTGCTCTCTTTCTAGGAGATGTTCCTCCTGCCCCCATCCCTGCCCTGAGTTGTCTCACTGACCCTTTAGCTCGAAGCTGGGGACTCTCATCTTTGAGGAGCCTTCCTGGAGCTCCCTGACAAGGCAGGCCTGGTGTCTGTGTGCTTAGCTGACTCATGTTCTTCTGTACCAGCTCTGAGTCCTACGTGTAAGAACTACTTCTCATTTTGTTCCTCATGTACTCCACGTCTGGGACACAGCAGGCATAGCACTCAATACTTGCTAAGTAAATGAGCAAATAAATATAAAATAAGTACAATATTTAAGAAAATATAAATACCATTTCCAACAACAGGGTTGCTCACCTTGAACACTGCAAATGGAGTTGGCGGGTGTGATAGAGCCCAGCTGGTTGAGCATCACTGGGCCAGTCAGCTCGCAGGGGCAAGCACCAGAGGCCATGCACAAAAGGGGCTTTTGAAGCAAGAAGACAGTCCGCTCAACACAAACAATTCAACCTGCCAACAGACACACTTCAGATTACCGAAGTATTGAAAAAAAGTGAATTCTCCTGCCCATAAACACAGTCTCCTGCTGGCTTCTTAAGAGCCCTGTGGGGACAGACTGTAGGTGTGGGGTGGGATGACAACACACTCTCTTGGTGTTGTGAGCATCACTAGACTCAGCCTCAATTTAGAAATGGTGAACTTTGTGGGATGTGAATTATATTTAAATAAAATTTAAAAACCTATAGTTTAGGCAGGAGTCTAGTTTGATGGACCAAAGGGTGACTGGTCCAAGTATATACCTTTAAAAATGTTCTAGCTTTTGGTTTTAAAAAGGATATTCTAGGCCATGACTTCAGGTGGCTTCTGCACAATATAGGGTGCCGCCGACAGACCACCCCACAGCATGCAGTGGTGTTTGCGGGTGTGTCAGCACCACAGGAGCATTGGCTCTGTCCAGGTGGCCACAATAGGGGTCAATGAAAGCCTGAGGTTGATACATGGGCCTGTTGCCCCACTGTCCAGGTCTGTGATGGGCTTCAACTGATTATAAACAGCATTGGCATCAATTGACAAGGTGCCAGTAGTGCCAGAGCAGTACTAGTGCCAATAGTGACAGAGGCATCCAGAAGCCACATGAGCCACTTTGTGGGCGCTGATCAGTTGCCCCTAGGTCACAGGTGTTGAGAAGCAGCAAGCACACCCTGGTATCAGAGAGCATCCCTGAAGAGGGTGCCCTGAGGTGCAGCCACAGTGAATGATGCCAAGACTTCTGGCCCCAGCACGCACGAGGGGGACACGCAGATTGGCAGGGTTCTGGGGAGCCCGGGCTCACTCTTATCCCTTGTTTGCAGAGTGATGTCAGTCGCCTGCAGCCAAATCTCCCTTTGTTCCAGAAGAAGCAAACTCTTCAGCTAAAATTGGAAGACACAGAACAGTATTAACTATTCTTATATCCAAAAAATTTTAAAGCAATAATATACTAGCCACACCACATGGTTCTATTCATGGGACAATCATAAATATACTATCATAATATACTACCATATACAATCATAATATACTAGCCATGCACCGTGGCAGTGGCTTGTTCGCAGCAAAGGAGGCCTTTACCCAGGTGCAAGGTTGAGGCACTTGGGGCATAGCCTTGTTAAAGGGGGTAGTGACCGACATGTGCAATGACATATGTTTTAAAGTAATATATGTGTGGCAGATAAACCCATGAAAAGATGCTCAACATCATTAGTCTTCTGAATGAATCTCCAGACAATTATTAATGTGTTAAGTAAAAAGGCAAATCTGAAAAATATCCGTTACAGGTTAAACTGTGTCCTCTGAAAAAGATCTGCTGTAGTTTAAGACTTCAAACCAAATACCTTAGAATGTGGCCTTATTTGGAAATAGGTTCTTTGCAGATTTAACTAAATTGAGGTAATTGGGGTGGGTGCTAACCCAATATGGTATGATGTCTTTATAAAAGAGGATAATTTGGACACAGAAGGAAAGGGGTTTGAGGACACACAGAGAGGATAGGTGAGGTCCAGCGACTGGAGTGATGCGTCTGTAAGGCAGGGGCCAGGGACTATCAGCGTTGGCAGCTGAAGGGGGCAGGAAGGAGCCCCTTGGAGCCCATAGAGGGAGGAAGCATGGCCTTGGCCACACCTGGATTTCTGAGTTCTGGCCTCGGGAAGTGTGACAGAATAAATTCTGTTCTTTTAAGCCATATAGTTTTTGGAACTTTATATGGCAATCCTAGGAAACTAATACAGACATACACCGCATGGTTCTATTCATGTGACAATCATAAAATAATTATAATGACAGAGAATATGTTCCTGGTTGCCGGGTTAGGAATGGGGGAAGGATGGGTGTGGCTATAAAGGGGAACAAAAGAGACCCTGTGGTGATGGCACAGCGGCATATACTGATTGCAGCAGTGGTTATGCAAGGCTGTATGTGGGACAACATTGCACAGAAGTGCGTGTGGGCACATGCACGCCCCCTGCACACATGACTGGTGGAATCCCAATTGACGCTGTGGATTGTGTCGGGGTTACTGGGAGTAGGATTTTGGCCTGCAGGGGGTATATCAAAGCTCCATGTATATTTCTCTGCAATCTACTTATGAATCTGTAAGTATTACAAAATAAAACTTTAACACGAAGCTGAAAAATACCATCTTTTCACTTTCATGACTTAATCAGTGATCTGTTTGATGACTCGGGCTCTGGCCATGACTCAGGGAACCATCCTGAAATGAACTCTCACTGCAGAGGGTGAAGGAGATTGGCTTAATCTCAGATCAGCCCCAGGACTTAGCTTATTTCAATTCTTCCCTGAAGAAGTTGTTTCTTGTTGATTCTCTTTCCCACAAAAGCAGAATATAGGAGATGGACAGAATTTTAGTAGATCAAAGAATCTGCTCCATTGGGTTCCGGGTCTCTTGACCACGGGAACAACGTTTCTTAGGTGTGCCCCCACTGGAAGCTGTGCTTACTGGCAGGCTGCTTCTTGGACAGGAGGGGATCCAAGTATCTCCCCCAGTTATCCTCCCCAGGGTAGGTCCCTCCACCCAGCAGGTGGACAGCTTGGTTTATTTTTCTGCACCCCAGCACTGCCCTCCCCTGGCTTTGGGCAAGTGTATGACACAGGCTTTCTCAGGTGGGGGCTGTGGGCAGGAGTGTGCTATCACAGCCAAGTGACTGGTCTGAGGACAGCATCCTACCCACAGTGAGCCCACAAATGGCCTAAGAACATGACATCACCTTCAGTTTGCTTCATCCTAGGGAGGCCGGAGACACATCATGTGCTCCACCTTGTCTTTGCTGAGGCCCTGTACACTGAGGCATACCACTGGGTGATTTATTTTGATCATTCTCTTAATTCCT